TCAGTTCCGTCTTCTTAAGACCTAAATTAAATTCGATCTCAGACGAAAAGCTCGACCAAATCGGCGGCGGTGTAAAACAGTCAGAGCTATGGCGTTGCAGACCGGAGTTGGCTTATCCAAGATCTTGCTCTTAGCGGGAGCTGGTATTTTTACTTGCTTTCTCTCCTCATTTGCTTCACTGTTTCGTTCTTCTTCGCGACTTCTACAATGGGATCTTCATATATCCTGATACGTTTCCGATTTGTTGAATTGAAGGTTATACTGGTACGATCATGATGAATAATGGCAAATTATCGGATTTGTTGGGTGAATTGCAGGTACTAATTGATTCTGTACTCTTTTTTTTTTGTTTCTGTTACTCCTTGAAATTTTTGACTTATTTGTTGTTTCGATAGTCTCTGGTGAAGGGTTTGGAGGTATCTGGAGATGGATCTGAGGGAGATTCTGATATTCCTGATGCCATAGCTGCCCAGGTACTTGCTAATTTCCGATTTTTGTATTTCTTCCATTTGATTTAGGAATATTGGTGAGATTATCATATTGATTTGTTTTTCGATTTGAAGGTTCGCCGACTGACCATGGAGGTTCGTCAGCTAGCGTCTTCGAGGCAGATAACGGTCATGAATGGAGTTTCTGGTGGTATGTTAAGTTAGGCAATTGTAGATTTTCTGAAAATTCTTTTGTTTTTGTTAGGTTTGCAGTAACAAGCTTAGTGTTGTTTTCTCTGTGGAGTGAATCTCTTAGTTCATCAGTCTCTCTTTTTGGTTTTTTTTTTTGTGTCAGCAAACTTACAAGCTCTTGCTGTTCCTGCTGCGGCATTGGGAGCTCTCGGATATGGTTATATGTGGTGGAAGGTCAGATAAAGTTTTCAATCTTTTTTTCTTGTTATTTCTGCTGTTTGTTTGCACTGCTTCTGTCAAGAGGATGTTTCAATGATTTGTGCTTTTATACTGGTTAGGGACTCTCATTCTCTGACCTTATGTACGTGACAAAAGCCAACATGGCTAATGCTGTGGCTAACTTGACAAAGAATCTGGAGCATGTTTCGGAGACCCTTGCTGTGAGTTTTGCATTACTTGTGGCATTTCTGGTGATATATTAATCCGCTGCGTTAAAGTTGGATCTTAATCGTTTGATTGTCAGGCTGCAAAAAGGCATTTAACGCAAAAGATTCAGAATGTGGATGATAAGGTAGAAATGCAGAATGAACTCTCCAAGGAAATTATTAACCAGGTATATATTATGATAACGATTGGCTTTCACTGTCTGTATCTTTAGTATTTTAAACAGATTTGGACTAACGTAATGTGCTTGTGGTTATGTTGAACAGGTCACTTTGACTCGTGAGGACATCAGCTCACTTGAGATGAATTTGGAATCATTGCAGAATTTTATCGCTCAACTGGTGAGTCTTAGTTTCATTTTGTAAAACCATATATGAGCAATGCTAAATATTCTCTTTCTGCAATCATTGGCATGTGCTTTGCTGCATCTGTCGTGATTGCAGCTGTGAACACATTTAGTCTTTAAGATCAGATCAGGAATCAGAATTCTCCTTTCGGGCATTCCATTCCTTTTACTTTTAGTATCTCTCCTAATTCTTTTGGCGTTTAATCTTTCTTCACAGGATGGGAAGTTAGACACGCTGCAATACAAACAGGTACATGTATCTTTCAGCTGTGAACCTCATGAAGTCTTATAAGCAGGCATCATTAGCATGAAAATCAAACCTTAATCATTGTTTCGTTTTAATTGAACCACCCATCAATTGGTAACTCAGTGCTGATTCTGATTCGGTTTCTGGTGGCAGGATGTCACAAATGTTTTCATGGTCAACTTGTACAACTTCTTTGGAGGCAAGAGCACAAAACTGCCTGAAATGGTAGGGGTTTTCATAAATTGAATTTATCTCCCTATTTTTCTGTATTAAAATCTCTATATTTCTGGTGTTAAAACTGAAAAGTGGTGCTATTCCATATTTCTTCCTTTGCATTTAACTTTTGGATGATTGTTTATCTCTCAAAGTAATTAACTTCAATCTTACAGGAACAGCTTCAACTTCCTGTAAATCAAAAGGCTCGTAATTTGCTTCCAGATGTTGAAAGCAAGGTGTCTCTCCTCATTTGAAAACTCATTTCCGTTTGTATTCGTGTTATCTCAGCGAGTTGAAAGGAAACTTCTTTTGCTGATGACAGTATTTCTTTTGCAGGGGCTGAAAAACTTTGCTGAAGTACTGTTTGAAAGCAATGACACAGAGGGAACAACCACAGGGAAACAAATTTTTATGCGCAAGGTCAATGACAAGTCGAGGCCAGTGTTATCAAGGTTTGATGAATTTGCAATGCAATCTTGTTCTTTCTATTTCTTACGAATTTTATCAATAGATGCATAACAAAGGAAATTGTGAATGCACAGGGCTACTTCAGCTAGATGTTGATTTGGAAGTTTCCTGATGGCGGCTGGCTTGCGGGATGTATATAACAAAACTCTTCACTTATACAAATGATCTCGTGAGACGTAAAAAGCTCTCTTATATTTATACTCTGGTTTGGTTTGTTTTCCTCCACAACTTGGGTCTTATGATATTTTGGTTTGCCTCGGGAGGTTTTTCCTTAAACTTGGAGTTTGTTTATTGACTTGGACATGTGCTGTGTCCACTTTTTGATTTTGAAGCAATTAAAATAAAAGTTGATGTGGGGGTAAATAATCGAAGTCATTATTCTAATGCTCAATAGATTTTTACGGTTCGGATCAGATCGAGTTGGCTCCAAAGGACATCATCGTTCATATATGTGCAAAGGAATCAAGAAGAAAGAAGAAATGTCTATTCATTGGATTAATACTTCTAAACTGGGTTGATAAATAACTGGTCTGATGTGTGACTGGCATGCTGAGATAGAAAGTGTGGAACTCATGTCCGGATTGTGGCAACACAAGCACCATGTCAACTCAAGACATCTCACATCAGTGGAGATACTTCAAAATCAGTTTCGGGAGACTTCAAAATATGCTTCTTCAAGGGTTTGGGGTTCTGCCTAACCTTGCAGTTGTAGCAAACCTAGGCAATATGAACAATCAACGCGATTAGGAGATAAAGTGTTAGTGCATCTAATGACTTCAAGAAACCGGCGATGCGTAAGAGATGAGGAGAAGAAGTCACGAGTAGTACACATGGT